TTTTTTTTTTTCTTTCTTTCTTCGTTTCTCTACGGAACGACGACTAAAAAATCGGTGTGTGGATTTAGGAAATATTCGGGGATGAACTAGCTGGGCCGAGCTAATTAAGAAACAGTGAACTAGTTTACTGGCGCCTGGTTGCTCGTCACGATGAAAAATCAGTGTCACGGGGATTACTAACAATTCCAACCTTTCGACCGTTTCACCTCGTTTCTCTGTCCGTATCTGCAGTCATTATTCTTAGCCCCGTTCTTATCTGGGTCGATCGCATAATCGACGGAAAATGTGCGTACCCTCGGATGATCGACCTGGATACGCCGAGGGACCCATCGAGTCGCCTTGCATTATCCTTCTCGCCATTTCGAAACTCCCTTCCTTGCAGATAACGTCATTGTCGAATTTTTATATCTATCGTACGTCGTGCTTCTTTTGTATCGTGTTTTGTATCAGAAATTTTCATTTTTTCTTCTTTTACGAACAGCAGACCTCTGTTTAGACAGAAATTTGTCAGTGTGAACTAGTGATTTTTTCCACAGTAGGAGTTTAGGATCATGTAAGTGGATTCAACTCAAGCAGAAGTTCATTTAGTCGGTTATTGAACTACTATAAATGCTCCACCATCAATCTTCCAAACGAATTCGACGTAGAGTTTTCCCAATGATAATCCCGGGGAACGTTCCTCGAACTCTGCGCCGCCTAAATCCATCTCGTAAATACTGGTTCGATATCGACGAGTTAAAAATATCGACTTAAAAATACCTGCAGCCAGCCGCCTTTCGACAAACGATGCGTAAATTTAGCCCCCATATCGATAATGTTTCGAACGAAGCCGAAAACTTCCTAGTTCTATGACCGTCAATTACAGTACACACCGTGGGCCACCGATTGTTTCCTGACCGCGGGAAATCAGCGTTCAGCAAGCAGATATAAGCGAATAATTTCGTTCCGGATGCTCTAGCAGGGCGAGAACGGAAAGATCAGAATCTGTGAAAATTTCAATTTAATTCACGAGTAATTAAGTTAGTTCGAAATCCATCGAAACGAGGCCTGAGATATATCCTGAGCCTTGATTCGTTGGTAAAACTGAATTGAAAAATGGTAATAGTAAAACCTATCGAAAGAACACCTTTCCAACACCCTTAAGACACTTTATGTGAAATTTTCATCGCAGATGGAGTACGGCAAGGATCTACGATTCAGCGAGCAGTGGGACCGTTTGCAGAAGGAGTTCACCTGCTGCGGAGTGACTAGCTCCAGAGACTTCGGTGCTAGATGGCCACAGACCTGTTGCGAGTCAACCGGCAACGTCAGTGACACCTGTCCTCATCCGTACCCAAGGGGTTGCGAGGATACGTTGGTGAAATGGCTGCGAAAAACGGCGGACTTGCTGTTCGTATTAGGCTTCTGCGTGATAGCGTTCGCGAAATTATGTTTCCTGGGTATACTGCGCTACGAGATAAGGGAAATGATACAGAAGATACGGTTGCTACGTGAACCACCGCCGCCGGCGACCACCCTCACGCAACCACCCTTCTCGCAAGTAATACCGGAAGCAACTAACAACGGAAGTATCGTCCGACGCACGACTCTCCCTAATGCTGTCACTCCTTCCGGTAGGTTTCACCAAACATTGTGACATAACGATAGACAAGAACGTGCTTTTTTCTTTTTCTTTTTTCTTTCTCGACCTCGATCAGACGAATCTAGTCGCCGTTGACATCAATCGATGATCAAGTTGGTCGAAGAATCAACATTAGAACCGACTGCAATGAAACTTTTCCAAAGAAATAGATATTTCGTAGATTCTTATTCTTTTTGAGCGAGTAACACTGACATTTTTAGATAACTTGAATTTATTCTGTTGATTGACAAATTCTATATCGTGGTCGATGACAATTCTAGACGACGTCGAGAGAAGTTGAATAACGTTTCAGTGTATCTCGTTGGACACCGTTAATGAAGTTAGATGAACCATCAATTTCGATCGTTAAGTATTAAGTCGACCTGACATAACCGTAAATCTCTCGATGATCCAGAGACTCGAAGCTAAAGTGAAAAAAATTATGACATGCGTGGAATGATTGTGTGCAGATTCAGCTCGGGGTGTTAGATAAAATATGGCATTATAAATGGCCACGTGGCCATTTGAACGCACGTTTAATGTCTTTTGGAGATGGTTATTTTCGACCTCAACTTCCACTTCGCTGAAGTCTAGACACATGGTATTCAATATTCAACAAAGAATCTCCAAGTTCTATCGTCTCCGTGTAATGAACTTCTGTAATCTATCCGTGAACAAATCTCTCTGCTATTCGATGAATTTATCATCGTTCCCGAATGATTGAAACAAGACGAATTTTAAATAACGTAGCACTGTAAAATGGGAGCATTTGCGCTTTCGTTTTGGCACACCGTTATTGTAATGTAATTATTTTCACCAGAAATTAAATATAAAATTGAAGCTATAAATCAAATCTGAAGTGCATGATATCTAGGCTAAGGCAGTTTTTAGTCTATTAATTAAAAAAAAAAAAAACAAAAGAAGAGGCAAGGAAGCGCAACGTCTCTCAAAATTTCGTAGCTTTCATTCAAAGAGTCGGCTGTTTTTCCACTCATTTTTCTCTCACAAACCGAGGCATTGTCGCCATTTTCAGCGTGCCCGGTGGAACAAACGTTTCGCGGATCGTTTTTTTTAACGTTTATTAAGGTCGTTCACGATTCCTTCGCTCTCTCTCTCTCTCTCTCTCTCTCTCTCTCTCCCTGTCTTCTTTTCTCTTCTTTCGTCTCGAAAAGAGATCTCGCAGTTGCCTGGCTTCGCAGTCAATAGCACTTACACGGTTTAAACGACGCAGGGGGGGAGGGTGTCGTGCCGAAAAGATCGGATTAACGAGCGAAAACCTAACGAGAGATAACTGGATGAGCATGAAGTTAACCAAAGACGGTTTACAAACGCCGTTTCGTCGGCCACGCGATTGAGAATTCGTAAACGGGAACAACGACACCAGGGTCGGGGTGTTTCTCCGTTTCTCTTTTCGCGAACCTCGAGA